CCTGTGTCTTCCTTGGCTTCCCCCCTGACGCACTTGGGTGGCAGTTCTACCACCCCACCTCGCGTCGTGTTCTGTCCTCTCAGGACGTCACGTTTGACGAGTCGGTGTCGTACTACCGTCTTTTTCCCTACCGCACTGCCTCTCCCCTCCCCCCGCCGCTCTTCCTCGCACCAGGTACTCCCCCGGTAGACCCCCTCCCCCCCCAGGGTCCTTCCCCCTCAGGTGTGTCCCAGGTAGACCCTGCCGAGCCGGTCGAGGTAGCTGTCGACTCAGGTGCTGCTAGGGGTGCTGAGCCTGCGGGTGCGGGGACTTGGGGTGCTGAGACTGGGGGTGCTGAGTCTGGGGGTGCTGAGCCTGGGCGTGTGGAGCCTGAAGGTGCTGTGTCTGGGGGTGCTGAGCCTGCGCGTGCTGCGTCTGGAGGTGCTCTCGGTGTCCCGCCGCGGCGGGAGCCTCTCTCTCCACAGCAGCTTCGTGAGTGGTACTCTCGGCGCTGTCGGGGTGCTGCTGGAGCTACTGGAGGTCCTGCTGGGGCTTCTGGAGGTGCTGCTGGTACTGGAGGTGCTGCTGGAGCTTCTGGAGGTGCTGCTGGTGCTGGTGCTGCTGGGGGTACTACTGGTGCTTCTGGTGGTGCTGCTGGAGCTGGAGGTACTGCTGAAGTTTCTGGAGGTGCTGCTGGTGCTGGTGCAGCTGGAGGTACTGCTGGTGCTGGGGGTGCCGCTGGGGCTTCTGGAGGTGCTACTGGTGCTGGTGCTGCTAGAGGTGCTGCTGGTGCTGGAGGTGCTGCTGCTGCTGGAGCTGCTGGAGGTGGTGCTACTGCTGGAGCTGCTGGAGGTGCTGCTGGTGCTGGAGCTGCTGGAGGTGCTGCTAGGACTGGAGACCCTGGGGCTGAGGGTACCGGTTCTGTCTCTGCTGTCTCTGGAGGTGCTGTGTGGCCGCGGCCGTACTACGTTCCGCTTCTTCAGCAGGTTCTTGGCTCCCCGCCTTCTCCTGGTCCTCCTCCTCCTCCTTTACTGAGTCCACCGCCTGTCCAGTCCCAGTCGCGGTTTCAGCCAGCCTCTCCACTGCCTGGTCTTTCTCCTTACTCTGGACCGACTAGTGGTCTTACGGAGCGTCGTGAGCCTGAGTCTCGTCCTGCGTCGCCTGTCCGTCCTGTTCGCGCTGGTCGTGTTTCGCGTCCGCGTCCTCCTCCTGTCCCTGGCACTCACTCTATGACTCTGCGTCCTACCACTGCTCCACAGCGTGTCCCTCTGCCGTCTCCTCCTGCGTCCTCTCTTCCTGCCGGTCCGGACCCTGCGTCTGACTCCCTACGGGCTGCTAGTCCAGCTGTCACGCGTTTTCTGGCCACTACTCTCACTGACCCTTTGTTTGAGTCCACTGCTGCGTCTGCTCTTGTTGCTGAGCTTGTTGACTTTGCTGCAGCCTGTCGCCTAGACTACGCTGCTCGTCTTGTTACTGAGTCTGCGTCTGTGTCTGTCTGTCCTCCGTCCGTCGGGGGTGAGTGTGCTCTTGGCACGGACGTTCTTGAGGACAGACAGGAGGAGTTTGAGTGCTTTGCTGCTTCTGTACCTCATCTCGTGTCCATGCTGCTTGCCCCTGAGGGAGACCCGGATGCACCAGACATCCCGACCCTGCGCTCTTATGCAGAGGCGATAGAGGGTCCCTACTCCTCTCAGTGGCAGGCAGCCATGGACGCCGAGATGGCTTCCTGGAAGTCCACAGGCACCTACGTCGACGAGGTTCCCCCGCCTGGGGCGAACATCGTCAGTGGCATGTGGATCTTCAGGGTGAAGCGGCCGCCGGGTTCTCCGCCTGTCTTCAAGGTGCGTTACGTTGCTCGTGGCTTCAGTCAGCGACAGGGAGTTGACTTCTTTCAGACCTTCTCCCCTACCCCGAAGATGACCACTCTTCGGGTTCTGCTGCACGTTGCTGCTCAGCGTGACTACGAGCTCCACTCGCTTGACTTCAGCACAGCCTTCCTACAGGGCAGCCTGCACGAGGAGATCTGGCTGCGCCGCCCACCTGGCTTCACTGGGTCGTTTCCAGCTGGTACCCAGTGGAGCCTCCGGCGGACAGTCTACGGTCTCCGCCAGGCACCTCGTGAGTCGCACGACACACTCAGGACGACTCTTGCTGCTCTTGGTTTTGCTCCTTCCACTTCTGACCCTTCTCTGTTCTTACGCACTGACACTACTCTGCCGCCGTTCTACGTTCTCGTATACGTAGACGACCTTGTCTTTGCTACTGCTGACACTGAGGCACTCGCCCACGTAAAGTCCGAGCTGCAGAAGAGATACACGTGCACAGACCTGGGTGAACTGACAAGCTATCTTGGCTTGCGGATCACCCGGGACAGATCACAGCGCACCATTACCTTGACTCAGTCACACATGGTGCAGCAGGTCCTTCAGCGCTTCGGCTTCACGTACTTCTCGCCACAGTCCACTCCTCTGCCTACCGGTCACTCGCTCTCAGCTCCACCTTCGGACGAGTCCGTAGAGCCGAGTGGCCCATATCCAGAGCTTGTGGGCTGCCTCATGTACCTGATGACTTGCACACTGACCTCGCATACCCTCTCAGCCTTCTGGCTCGCTACGTGGCTCCCGGCAGGCACCGAAAGGTGCACTGGGATGCTGCGAAGAGGGTGTTGCGATACTTGTGCAGTACATCGGGCATGGGGCTCGTGCTTGGAGGACGGGCTCGAGTTGTCCTCACTGGTCACGCAGACGCCTCCTGGGTTGACGACTTGACTACGCAGCGGTCGTCACAGGGTTACACCTTCAGTCTTGGCTCCGGTTCTGTCTCTTGGCGGTCTACCCGTTCTTCTTCTGTTCTCAGCTCCTGTTGTGAGGCTGAGATCTACGCTGGGGCCATGGCTGCACAGGAGCTACGCTGGCTCACCTACCTGCTGACCGACTTGGGAGAGGCGCCTCGTTCTCCTCCAGTTCTCCATGCTGGCCTTGTGTCAGGAGCACAGACTGGAGCACAGAACGAAGCACATTGCTCTGCGCTACTTCCTTGCTCGAGAGTTGCAGCAGCGCGGTCAGCTTCGTCTTGCCTACGTGGCCTCTCAGGCCAACACTGCTGATGTTTTCACCAAGGCACTTCAGCCTTGTGATCATCAGCGTTTCTGTACTGTGTTAGGCCTTGTACCCACTGTGCCTCACTTGTTGACTTCTTAACTCTGCTTGTATTGTACTCTATATACTTATACTTGCATGCTTACACTGACTAGGTTGTGTTCACTGTATTGTTTGCTTTCTTTTATATAACTATGCATGTGAACTGGCCTTGTGGCCCTTTGCTTGTGCTCAGACTGCGTGGTGACTTTGTGATCCACCCTGAGCTTGGTTTACCTTCTTGACTGGTCTTGTGACCCCTTGTTTTCCCCCACTTTGCCTATGGGGGTGTGTCAAACTTATATATGCTATAGTCTGTTTAGGCTGTAGTGGGGTAGTTCTTAGAGGGTACAACTCTTTTGTGTTTCCTACTTGTACCCATCTCCTTTCTAGTTTCATCATTCTTCTCGTTAATTCTCACAGATCAATCGAGGATCCATAGTGCAGGTCTACTGACAGGGTAGGCGTGGCGAAAGCATATGACATATATTGTGCGCATACAAATGTGTATGTGTGAATTGACATGGTGCACTAGAGCCTGATTGCTTGATACGGTAGTTGTGCAAAAGCTGGCGACGACGCTGGGGAACTAGGCATACTGATAGAACATGCAGTTGTGTAGGGTGTTTGGAGCAATACAACATGATTGTTTGACAGTTGTAAAATTTTGTTTTACGGCGCAGTGAAACTAGGCATACAGATAGTATCTCAACACCAATCAAGCATTTCGAGCCTTTATGTGAGCCAAATGGGCTCATCCTTTGAACCAATAGACTAATCTTTATATTTTTTATAGAGAAAAACACCACCTTGTTTTTGGACGTTCTTTAACGAGGCATTGAAGACTGTTCTGTTCATGTGCCCTAAATCTGTGCAGGTCTAGTCTGGCTTCATGGTTCTCGATTGGGTAAGTAGCTTTGGCGGGGTTCTACTAACGACCCTGCGCTTTCTAGGGAACTACAGTGCTAGTTGCGGGCACTTTCCGCCCCTCTGACCCTCAGACAGGGAAGTCATGGCAACAGCACAGAACTCGGTCCCACATTCACCCACGTGTCACAAATTCGAGAAAATTAGAGAACGCAGGGCAAAAAAAAAAACCCATAGGGAACCTGGACTTATTTTTAGAAGGGATCAACCCTGAACATGAGAACCCACTTTTTTTTAGGGTTGATGCGTCCTCAAGACGCATCCCTTTCCGATTGGGTTTTAGTTTTTTTTTTTTTTTTTTTTCAGGCTTTTCCAGTGGCTTGAGAATTTGTGACACGTGGGTGTGTGTGGAGCCGAGTTCTGTGCTGTTGCAATAACTTTCCTGTCGGAGGGACGGAGGGGCGGAAAGTGCCCGCAACTAGCACTGTAGTTCCCTGGAAAGCGCAGGGTCGCTAGTAGTACCTCCGCCAAAGCTACTTACCCTTCTCGATTTTACTTGGAGGCGAATGATACTAGTGGCTGACATGCTTCTGGGTTTTCACCTGGTCTGGTCTGATCTGGGCCTCACAATGGCTTTGACATGAGCCACGTCACAGATCCATCGGCGCGCCGCAAATGTCACGGGATCTCCCCATCAATCTGGCACGTTGTACAGCACCTTCCCGAGCCGTGCTTGCGCGGAATTCCGCTAATGTCACCCGAATTCGGATCCTCTCGATTTCACACCGTCCGCTCTGAACCCGACAGTTGTACACCACACCAGCGCGGACCGCACAGCGAGCGAGAACGCTCGTGCAGCATTTGCAAGGCAAATTCATAGGCTTCAGTTACACCCTACCCCCTCGATCCAACATCCAGTGAATCGTGTTCTCCTCATTCCCCATCCTAAAACTTGCTTACTCTCGTTCTCAGGTTGCAGCTCAACTCGCAATAAGCGCGTTTGTACGCGTGACTGTCATGGCCGCGGCCGCATGTTCCTCCTCCGCCTCCCTCGCCGCTGCAGCGGCAGGCACCAGAGGCTTGCGCGATGAGAGCGAGTCTCAAGGCTCGTCTGCGCCCACGCCCTTCACGTCCTTCCATGGCCTCCGCGCGCAGCCCTCTCATTCGCCGCACACGCTCCGCCCGCGTACTCGACAGCCCGGAGCCCGCGATCCGCCGGAATCCGCGCGCGGGCTGTCGGTAATGGCGAAGCAGCGCGGCACGCAGAGGATCGCGAAGACGCAACGCGGCACGACCAATGGTCGTGGCACGAAGCGCGGCACGCAAATCCTTCCGCGGAAGGGCAGAGCGGAGGAGCTCCCACCATCGAGGGGAACCGTCATCTTCCGCCGAAAAGACTCCGCGGATAGCGCCGCCAGCCGCGGTAGCGCGCAACAGGACGAAGCCGCGGCGCCCCCCCCCCGCCCCGAGGAGCTCCCCGCGTCGCCGGGGCTGTTCTACCCGGTGGTGCGGCTGGCGTCGCTGCTGCTCGGCCCTCCCGGCCCCGACGCGAAGACGGTGTTCGTCTCGGGCGGCGCGGCGGGCCCCACGGCGTCGCGCGTGGTGGCGGAGCTGCTGGCGGCGGGGTTCAAGGTGCGCGCGGGCGTGGAGGAGGCGGATAAGGACGCGATGAAGCAGCTGCTGGCGCAACTCAAGGTACGCGGGGAGGCATGGGATGAGCGGAAGGGCAGGATCTGGATTCTTGATCTCTCTGAGCAATTATTTAGGAACAAGAAGGAACGAGAACTCTTTGAATAGGCGATGGGGTCAATGTGTGCGGAGAAGTGTGAACGCGTATCCCCATTCACTGATCCCGTAGACAGATTCTCACTGGCTCCCCGATGGCTGATCCCTATCAGCAGATCCCATTGGCTGATCGCCATCAGCGTACATTCAGTGCAACATCCTCTCACTCACTCCCATCCCCGACACATCCTTCCCTCTCTCACCCCCTCCTTTCTCCTTCCCGTGCAGCCGCAAATCAGCGCGGACGACGCCAAGCGACTGACCCTCGTGCAGTACTCCGCGCGCGACGCCGACTTCACCGCGCAGGCGATGGCGGGCGCGGGCACGGTCGTCGTCACGCTGGGGCGCGCGGAGAACGGCGCGGGCAGCGCGGGGGTGGTCTCCCCGCAGGACGCGCTGGACCTGCTGCGCGCGGCGGAAGCCGCCCGCGCGGCGCAGTACGTGCTGCTGACGGACTTCGCGCAGGGCTCGGGCGCGCGGGACGGTAGCGTCGTCTCCTCCATGCTCGCGTTCCTGGGATCCATTGGGCGGCGCGGCGTGTCATATTCGGGGCTGGCGACGGCGCTGGCGGAGAGCGAAATTTCGTACAGCATCGTGCGAACGGGGTTCTGCGACGGCGTGCCCGACAGCTTCATGGCGCGCTCGCAGCTCGTGGTGGGCGCGGAGGGCAGCATCAACAGCGGCAAGGTGAGCGCCGGGGGTCGGCCGGGGGCTGGGCTGGGGAGATAGGGGGTGGGTGGGAGGGCGAGGGATGCGCGGTGAGCGTGGGAAACTGGAAGAGAGGGCTGGGGCGGGGAAGCGAGGAGAGAGGAGGAGATGGGCAGCGGGTCGTGGGGGGTGGGGGGGGGGGTGGAGGGAAGTGAAAGGTTGGTGCTGGCTTGCGTCCATGTCCGCGGAGAGGCTTGCTGCTCGCTTCCATGTGATGTGTCAGCGTGGTTCCACTCGGTCTCTGGTGGCCGTAGAGCGGCCACTCTGAGCAATCCCCGCATCCGCGTGTGCATTGGCGGCAACGTTTGACTGCCATTGCCCCTCAACCATCCCTTCCCACTGCATTCCCCGTTCTGCTCCCCTACCTCGGCACCACCCCCGTTCTGCCCCTCTCCTCTGCCCTCCGCTCTGCCCCCCCGCCCTTCCCCCCTGCCCTTCCCTCCCGCCCTTCTCCCCCGCTCTCATCCCCGTGCACGGCGCGCCCACGCGCAGACATCGCGCGTGCAGGTGGCGCAGCTGGTGGCGGCGCTTCTGAGCGATCCGGAGATGGCGCGAGATAAGGTGAGGCGGAGTGGCCATGCAGGGGGTAATGACGTGGGGGGTTGCAGGGGACGGCATGGCAAGGGAGAAAATTAGGGGGAAAAGCATATTGAAGGTTGAGGAAGGCCGCTTGTTCCACCCAGATGGTCAGTGGCAGGGAAGAGTACACGGGAATGTTAAGTGATGCTATTTCCTTGAGCACATGTCTGAGCACGCACACATGCCGGCCAAGATTGCACTTCCTGTGAAAACCGGGGGTAGTTACCCCGCTACCCCCCTCTGCTGCCACACACATGTCCGCCTGTAGCCTCCATCCGCCCTGACGCCTTACCCATTCCTGCTCCTTGCACACCCCTCCTCCCGCGCCCCTCCTCCCACACCTTTCCTCCCGTGCCCCTCCTCCCGCGCCCCTCCTCGCGCTCCCTCCTTTCGCGCGCCCCTGTGTGTGGTGCAGGCGTTGGACGTGGTGGCGAGTGAGAGCGCGAAGGCCACCCCCCTGCGAGACATGCTCAGGTGCGCTGCTCTGCTTCCCACGGGATAGCAAGCTGGTTCTGAGACGTCTCAAAACCACGTGGATGATTGGTAACGTGGTGTGGAGTTGTGTGCCACGCAAACAAAGACTTTCCTTTGCGATCACCTGAAGTTCAGAAGAATTGCAAGCGAGCAGCCATGCATGGCACTGGTTGTGCGACATGAGCCCACAGGAGGCTGAGAGGGAGTGCACACACCAAGTGCTACAGAAGTGGCTGTCACTACCAGTACCATACGAATGAACAACACCTCGGCCTCAGCTTTCCCCAATACACCTGCACCTACGCCTGTGCCATCTCACACACCTGTGCTCATACTCGTCCTGCCTACCTGCTCTCTGCCTCCTCCCCGCCTCCCCTCTCTCCCCACTCCCCTCTCATCGTGCAGTCTCGTCCCCCCTGACCCGCGGCGAGCCAACAAGCTGCTGGCAGCAGAGCAGGAACAGGAGGAGGCAGCAGCAGCGGAGGCGAGGGAGGCAGCGAGCAGGGAGGCGGCAGAGAGGGCAGCACAGGCAGAGGCGCTGGCCCAGGCGGCTGAAGAGAAGGCTGCTGCTGAGGCCATGGCAGGTGGGGCTGGTGCTGGGAGATTTGCTGTGCGTGGGTGGTGGGAAATCGGTGCTGTTTGTGCGGGCTTTGAGATTGGTGCCATGTGTGGTTCCTGGGAAGAGCGGAATGCAACAGCACAAAAGTGTGTGGTACCTCAGTGCCCCTTCATACTCCCCTCTGCATTATCTTTACTTCTCACAAAACTCCCCCCTACCCCTCGCCCAATTGCATTTCCTTCGCACTTGCAGCCAAGGCAGCGCGGGAGGCAGCAGAGGCAGCAAAGGCGCAGGTGAATGCACAGGCAGCAACAGCAACCGTATCAGACATGGTGGGCTTTCTCAAGGGCGCATCCTCCGACCTCCCCACGCCCAAGTCCGTGCTCCCCTCCTTCGCCAGCCTCATCCCTGAGACAGACGTGTTTGAGAGTTCCCAGTCCCAAGACTCTGCCTCAGACCGCCCTGCTCCCAGTGCTGCTCCTGCTGCCCCTGCTGCCCCTTCGTTTGCCAGCCTTGTCCCGAAAATCCCTGGCATCACTCCCTCTTCGGCCGCTGTAGCAGCCTCTGCAGCTGCTGATTCGCCTGCTGCGCCGTCCCTAGCTGCTGCTGCGGCTGCTGTGACGGGTGTGGTGGCAAGTGCAGCAGGGATTGTGCGAGGCGGTCAGGGGGGAACGATGAGAGGAACGGCAGGGGGCGCTGCTGCTGCTGCTGCTGCTTTGGCTGCTGCAGGGTTGGCGTCTAAGCAGAGGAGACCTCTGAAGCAGAGGGAGGGGGGGCAGGGGAAGAGTGGGAGCAAGGCAATGCAATCACAAAGACCAGGGGATAAGAATACCGAGAAGAAGACAGGGCTTGGGGGGTTGTGGCAGCAGGAAACTGTGTATGTGGACAGTGCAGAGGCTGGCGATTTCTGAGTACCGTACGCTATGGTTTGACAGCTGGACTCGTGGTTTATTTGTGTGATTAACTGTTACGAGCATGTGTTTCTGTCGTGTACGGTTAGTATTTCTGTCGATTGGAAACGTCAATTTCTGTCGCGTATGCTACCGTATGTGCTTCTGTCAATTGTTCAACACTGTTGTGCATGTGTGTGTGTGTGTGTGTGTGTGTGTGTGTGTGTGTGTGTTGTGTGTGTGTGTGTGTGTGTGTGTGTGTGAGTGCTGTCAAAATGTTATAATGCTTATATTGTGTAGGTTGTAGTGGGGTAGCACATAAGGGGTACAGCCCAATTAGGGTTAGAACTTGTACCAACTTTCTGCTCAATGCATTCATACTCGTTCAGTATTCTGGCATGGTTTCAGAGCAGGTCCTGTTCCAGGACCGTTTTTTTTTAGGGCCCATCGCATAGTTCCCTGCTCGTAGCGCTGTCCCACTAGTCGCGCTGCCCTGCCCTGTGTTGGGCTGAGAAAAGCCCTTAGGATCTTTCAGGACTAAGATCAGGTGTAGAGATGTAGAGATGTAATTGCGGAAGCGTTAATTAAAGATTGCCTTGAACCACCTTGTACTCGTGTGTGAGAACAAGATAAGTTAAATAATAGCAAAGAGATACAGGCCTTTTATATGATTACAAGGAATATCAAAAGTTCTACTTTAACTGTTTTTGCTGTTGCGGTTCGATACAGTGCCGACTCGGGTAACTGCTCAGTAACGAGTCAGTTATGTGTCCTTACTGTCGCACTGTACGTTTTGTCAAGTCAAAGGTCGGAGACCTTTGACCTTCGCGTAACCTCCGACAGTTGCCTTGGTTGACTCGAGTGCTTCTTCGCTGTAGTCAGTTCCGTTTCGTGTCGAAGCTTCGATACGACAGAAGCGTTTAAATTATTTGTTTCCAACACCCTGCCCTGCCCTTCCCGTCGCGCCGCCCTGCCAGTCGCGCGCCGCCCTGCCCTGCCTGTCGCGCCGCCCTGCTGGTCGCGCGCCACCCTCCCCTGCCTATCGCGTCGCCCTGCTGGCCGCCGCGTCGCCCTGCCCTGCCCGCACACCGCTCTGCTAGCCGCCGCGCCGCCCTGCTAGCTGCCGTGCCGCCCTGCTCTGCCTGCGCGTCGCCCTGCCCTGCCCACGCACCGCACTGCTGGCAGCCGCGCCGCCGTGCCCTGACTGAGCGTCGCCCTGCCCTGCCCGCGCGCCGCCCTGCTGCGCGCCGCACTGCTGCCCGCGCCGCCCTGCTGCTGTCCGCCCTGCTGGCCGCCGCCCTGCCCGAGCGCCGCCCTGCTGGCCGCCGCACCGCCCTGCCCTGCCCGCGCGCCGATCTGCTGGCCGCCGCCCTGCCCTGCCATCTGGGATCTACCCATAAGGGGTACAACCCAATTAGGGTTAGTACCTGTACCAACTTTCTGTTCAATCCATTCATTCTCTTTCTGACGCGGGCTGGGCCCCACTCGTCCATGTGGAGAGTCTGCAGGGGAGCAGTCGTCGGGGGAAACGAGGAGGACTGAGGAGCGGCGCGCTGCCGCCCCTCGACGCAAGGAAGGCAGGGTGGGGCAGGCAAGGGCGAGAGGGGAGGCAGAGACCTCGGAAGACCAGAGACAAGGAGGCGGGAGTGCATGCCACGAAGGCGTGGCAGGGAGGGGTGACCAAGGCGGTGGTGCCACAGGAGAGTCTGGTGCGACAGGAGGCGACACGAGCAAGGGGGTGCTACCGGACCTGATGCGGACACCTGGGCAGACGCAGCTACCTGAGGAGGCTCGGTAGCCAGTGTGTACAGACTCGACCCAGGCCGACGGGTGAACGTGGCCAGGTGACGGCCCGTCCGTGTACACGTGCAGATCGACACAGGCTGACCCCCAGGAGTGGTGGTAGTGACCATCGCATCCTGGAGGGCAGCGGTACTCAGCAAGTTTGTAGAGAACGAGGGGGGGTGAAGACCTGACAGTGAGCCGGACGGAACCGCCGGACACGGGAGAACAGTGGAGGAACGGGCAAGGACTGGGCCCCCTGAGGGGTCAGCCAGTCTGACCGGTACAGGTGCAGGGAGTGGAGTGAGGGTGGTACTGTCGCGAAAGAAACATTGTGAAGCACCTGATTCAAGCGTAAAGAAACAGCAGGCGCAGTACCAGGGAAAGCATACTCACTAGCACCTAGAGCAGCAACCTCTATACCTGGGTCGGGCGGCACACACAGGTAACAGTCACCCTCAGCACTGACAGACAAGGCATACATAGCAGCAAGGATAGCATCATAGCCAAGAGCAAAGATATCAACTCCAGACCTAAGCAGCTCTGCCCAGCGGGGGCGCTCAACCTCGTCACCAAACTCTGCGCGCCAAGCGTCCTCTAGGCGGGAGAAGCAGCGGTGCTGAGTGTGAGGCTTCCCGCATGTCTGACCAGCACGGTCACCCGTGCGAATGACATACGAGCAGCTAACACTACCCTCAGACGCCCCACGCTGAGCAAACCACTCACGAAGCTGCTAGGGTGAAGGGGTCTTGCTCTGACGCTTCTGCTGCTACCTCTGGCCACCGCCAGAACCTCCCCTCAGAACAGCTCCACCCCGACTACCACCACTCCCACTGCTGCCACTACCGCCACCCCCACCGCTGCCACCACCGCCGCCACCAAAGCCCCCACTCCCGCCACCCCTCCCACCGCTGCCACCACCTCCGGTACCTCCACCACCTCCACTGCCGCCCCCACTACCACCCTCGCTGCCACCTCCACGACTCCTGCCACCCTTGCCCTTGCTGCTGCGGCGCTTCCCTCTAGCAGAAGCAGCCCCAACATCCTCAGCACCAAGGACATCAACAGCAGCAGTAGAGGCGTAGGAGGGGGCAAGGTGGGAGGGGGAACCCCCCTCAAAGAAGGGCGTGCGAGGAGTGCCACGAGCGGCACCTACAGCGACTATACTAGTCTCAGCTGCAAGGAGGTGCTGCTCGAGCAGGTCGCCAGTGAGGTCTGTGGGGTCAAGTGTGAGAAAGTGGTCCCTGACTGCACGAAGAGAGTCAGGGAGGCGGGTGACTATGAAGTAGAGAGTGATGTACATGGGGGGGGGGGGAGGTTCCTGTCAAGGAACTCTGCTGGGAGGGCAGCGCGGTAGCGAGCTTTGCTAGTGCGAAGGTGGGTAACGAGGTCCTCTACTGTGGAAAAGGCGGACAGCTCGGGAAACAGGTAGGGTAGTATAAGACGGCCTAAAGCAGCAGTGGCAGGGAAGGAGTAACGGGCGACTACAGGGTCGTACAGTGCTTTGGGAGTCTTGTGCTGTCCCAAGTGAGCGCATTCGGCTAACGGCAGGTGGTTGCGAATGGCTAAGCGAGCAGCAGTGTCACGGGTAAGCCACTGTGAGCGAGTCGCACTGTCAGCTGTGGCGGGAGGGGCGAGAGAGGCTCCAGACGTGTGGTCAAACAACGAAACGTTGTCTCTAGAGTCAGTAAGTAGGTACAGTTGTAAGTCGTCGAGCCACGTGTCGAACTGGATAGGACGGCCCTCATGATCGAATGTGAGTACACGGAGAGAAGCCATAGCGGGCAGAGCAGGGTGGCGCGCTACCAGCAGAGCAGCACGCAGGCAGGGCAGGGCGGCGCACGGCTAGGGTGGCCAGCAGTAGGGCGGGCAGGAGCCGGTTGGTGCAAGCAGCAGGGCGGGAAGCAGCCAAGCGGTGCAAGCAGAAGGGTGGGCACACAAAGGGGCGGCGAGCGGGCTGCCAGAGGGCGGTGCGCAGGCTACAAGAGGCGGCGAGCGGGCCGCAAGGGGCGGCAAGAGGGCTGCAAGGGGCGGCGCGCAGGCTGCAAGTGGCAGCGCGCGGGCCGCAAGAGGGCGGCGAGCGGGCTGCAGGGGCTGCGAGCGGGCCGTAAGCGGGCGGCGGGCGGGCTGCAGTGGTGACGAGCGGGCCGCAAGCGGGCGGCGAGCAGGCTGCAAGGGCGGCGAGCGGGCCGCAGGCAGGCAGCAAGCGGGCTGCAGGGGCGGTGAGCGGGCCGCAGGCAAGCGGCGAGCGAGCGGCAGGGGCGGCGAGCGGGCCGTGAGCAAGCGGCTAGCGGGCGGCAGGGGCGGCATAGCGGGCCGCAAGCTGGCGGCAAGCGGGCTGCAGGGGTGGCTAGCGAGCCGCAAGCAAGCAACGAGCGGGTCGCACGGGCGGCGAGCGGGCCGCAAGGGCGGCGAGCGGGCCGTAAGGGCGGCTAGCGGGCCTAGGGGCGGCGGGCGGGCCGCAAGCGGGCGACGCGCGGGCTGCAGAGGCGGCGCGCGGGCCGTGAGCAGGTGGCGAGCGGGCTGCAGGGGCAGCGCGCTAGCTGCAGGGGCGGCTCGTGGGCTGCTAAGGGCGGCGCGTCAGTAGGGTAGGGCGGCAGTGCAGCTTGTGGGGCAGCTCTGTGGTGGGCCCTAAAAAAATACTCGGTCCTAGCGAAGGACCTGCTCTGAAACCGTGTCAAAGTAACGAATGCATTGAACAGAAAGTTGGTACAAGTACTAACCCTAATTGGGTTGTACCCCTTATGGGCTACCCCACTACAGCCTACACAATATAAGCATTATAATATTTTGACACGCGCGCCACTCTTCCCTAGCCGTGTGCCGCCTCGCCCTGTCCTGCGCGCTTCCCTAGTGCTCGCGCGCCACCCTGCCCGCGTGCTGCTCTGCTGGTCGCGCGCCACCCTGCTCTGCCCGCTATGGCCTCTCTCAGTGTTTTCACCTTCGATCATGAGGGCCGTCCGATCTAGTTCGATACGTGGCTCAACGACTGACAGCTGCACCTACTGAGCAATTCTAGAGACATCGTTTCGTTGTTTGACCACACGTCTGGAGCCTCTCTCGCCCCTCCCGCCACAGCTGACAGTGCGACTCGCTCACAGTGGCTTACCCGTGACGCTGCTGCTCGCTTAGCCGTTCGCAACCACCTGCCGTAAACTGAACGCGCTCACTTTGGCCAGCACAAGACTGCTAAAGCCCTGTATGACGCTTTAGTCGCTCGTTACTCTTCCCCTGCCACT